CCTTTTAAAAAGTGCTTCAAAATCGTCTGTTTTTCGCTCTGGCGTCGAGATCCATCCGGTTTTGGAGCTACAATTTCCGACGCCGTTGCGCGTAGTTCTATTGTGTTTTGCAACTCAGTCTCTGCAGATCGCATTGTAATGGCTGCGTCAAGGTTGCTTCGTGCTGTGGCTGCATTGGTAATACTATTGTCTTTTGCAGCTGGATCTCGTAAATCGTATTGGAGTGGCTGCATGAAGGCTGCGACATGGATTTGTTAGCAGATTTTCTCCATTTTGGCGCTAGTGTTTTTTGTTGCACGTAGGTTTAGAGCAGTGTGAAGTGTGGGGCGTGAAGAGTGCAGTGTGAAGTGTGCAGTGTGAAGGAAGCAGTGTGAAGTGCGAAGTGAGAAGTGTGAAGTTTGGAGTGTGAAGTGTGGAGTGTGAAGTGCGAAGTGAGAAGTGTGAAGTGTGAAGTTTGGAGTGTGAAGGAAGCAGTGAGAAGTGAGAAGTGTGAAATGTGGAGTGTGAAGTGTGAAGTGCGAAGTGAGAAGTGAGAAGTGTGGACTGTGAAGTGTGAAGTGTGAAGTGTGGACTGTGAAGTGTGAAGTGTGAAGTGTGGACTGTGAAGTGTGAAGTGTGCAGTGTGAAGTGTGAGGTTTGGAGTGTGAAGGAAGCAGTGAGAAGTGAGAAGTGTGGAGTGTGAAGTGTGGAGTGTGAAGTTTGAAGTTTGAAGTGCGAAGAGTGCAGTGTGCAGTGTGAGGTGTGGAGTGTCGAGGGAAGGACACGGTCGGGACAGGTTGTCTTTGAACTATAGGTCATTTATGTTTGGGAAACTTCCGCCGCCGGCTTGCCCGGGTCTATGTTATATATATATATACACTATATATATATATACTATACATATATGCTAGATATACAAGTAGAACCCACACAAGGCAGGTGGTGGAAGCTTCCAGGTTTAAGAAGTGTAACGCTATAGGATCCAAAAAGAAGGTTTGCCTATGGGAGCTGCGGCAGACTTCCATGCTCTTTCCAGGACTTCTGACCTCTTGTCGCAAATTGTGAAACCACTTCTCAGCTCGTCCAACGATTTCTCACCTCTTGGCAACTCTTTTCAACAACCTTCATTTCTGCGCACATCTTCTTGACTCTCCTCAACTCTCTTTTCATCTCTCTCTTCTCCTCTCAACTCCGTTGAACTCCTGTTGACTCACTTCACCTCAGTTCCACCTGTCCAATTTTTCTCAGCCCAGTCGAAGTGACACAGTTGCAAACTTTCTTGTTCAGGCCAGTTGAAGTGCCTTTCCATTCAATGTGGTTTCAGCATTCGATTGTGTTATCATTCTCGTGTCATGTGCTATCATTTAATCCTACCGGACTGTTGACTGTTACCTGTGGGTCCAACGTTCAAGCACGCTTGGGCCGCAGCATTTTTTCCACGCGCGCGAAGAGCTGTGACGTCACGAGCGGCCATCTGTCAAGAGCGCACGTGAGCAGCACAGCCACACGCGTCTTTGAGTCCTGCTGCCTGAAAGGCCAAACGAACAAGAACACGCAAGCAGCACAGCTGTGCGCGCCACCGGAATGCAGCGAAGCGTGGCAAACGCAGGCAGCACAGCCGTGCGCTTTTCTTCCCTGCTTCTTTCTGCTACACGCCCAAAATGTCGCCATCGCAGTACAGCTTGCGCAAGGTCTCCGGGCGACCGGAACGCTGAGAAACGGCCGCTTGATGCTCAGTTCCTCCACGTACGGCGGCCAAAAGAGCGGATGGCGTTCCAACGGAAAGCATTCGCCAAGCGTGAGGCGCAACAATGATTGCGGCAAAGGCACGTGCCGCAAATCTTGTTTGAAAAAATTGCCCCAACGAGAGGATTTCGAGTTGGTCTGGTAGATTTGCAGTAGCCAGGGAGTGATTGAAGTCAGAACCAAAATGCAAAAGCTGCAGCTGGAATGCCATCGTTGCCGGCAGAAGAACGTCCTGCAAGGGCCTATTGAATGTCATGCCAAAGGTCAAGGTTTGCAGACGCAGCGGCCAGCGGATGTTGCAGATCGGCTGATCAGACGAATATCCCATTTCCATGCTGCAATTCCGCAGGCAAACCGATTTTTGTTGCAGGGATCAATTGCAGCGATCCCCCAGATGCAAGTGCGTCAGGCCGTTTGGCAAGCTAGCCGCACCAGGGGTCAGCGAAAACAAGCCGCCGGCACGCGAATGTCGCAAGCCAACAGGCCAACGAAAGGATGGCAAGCGACAGCCGCCGACGCTGAAGTCGTTGCCAAAGCAAAATTTGACGGCAGCCGCGAGTTGTGTATGCACTGGCTGAAAGAAACCCCAAATCATCAGCACCAAAGTGAAAAACATCTGCTGCCAAAGCAACATTCGCAACGCTCAGACAGCCATTACAATTTGATTTGCGACTCTCAGTTGCAAAACACAAGTATTACGCACGCACCCGCAGCAGCGAGGAACCTTGACGCAGCCATTCCACTGCGATCTGCAGAGACTGAGTTGCAAAACGCAATAGAAGTTCGCAAAGCCGCTACACAAATTTGCAGCTCCAAAACCGGAGCTCGACGGC